CCTCCCAATCGATATTGGCCCACCAACAATTGAAGAGATCAGCATGGCCATTAGACAAGTCAAGAGTGGTAAATCAGCGGGACCAGACAACATCCCGGCATAGGCACTGAAAGCAAATGTAACAGCAACTGCCAAGATACTCCACATTCTCTTCAGTAAGATTTGGGACGAAGAACAAGTACCAATAGACTGGAAGAAAGGACTACTAATCAAGATACCAAAGAAAGGCGATTCTAGCAAGTGCGACAACTACAGCGGCATCACTCTCCTCTCAATTCCAGGAAAAGTCTTCAACCCAGTATTGTTAAATAGGATGAAGGATTCCGTGGACGCCCAACTTCGAGATCAACAAGCTGGATTTCGTAAGGATAGATCGTGCACAGATCAAATCGCAACTCTGCGGATCATTGTGGAGCAATCAATCGAATGGAGTTCATCACTGTACATCAACTTCATCGACTACGAGAAGGCATTTGATAGCGTGGACAGGACGACACTATGGAGGCTTCTTCGACACTACGGCGTGCCTGATAAGATAGTAAATATCATACGGAACTCCTATGATGCACTAAACTGCCAAATCGTCCACGGAGGACAACTCACCGACTCGTTTGAAGTAAAGACCGGTGTAAGGTAAGGTTGCTTATTCTCATCCTTTCTCTTTCTAATGGTTATTGACTGGATCATGAAGACGTCAACATCTGCAGGAAATCGCGGGATACAGTGGACAGGCAGTATGCAGCTTGACGATTTAGACTTCGCGGATGATCTGGCTCTTCTATCACAAACGCAACAACAAATGCAGGAGAAAACGACCAGTGTAGCAGCAGCCTCAGCAGCAGTAGGTCTCAATATAAACAAAGAGAAAAGCAAGACTCTCCGATACAATACAATATGCACCAATCAAATTACACTTGACGGAGAAGCTTTGGAGGATGTGGAAACCTTTACATATCTAGGCAGCGTCATTGATGAACACGGTGGATCAGATGCAGATGTGAGGGCGAGGATCGGCAAAGCAAGAGCAGCATACCTACAGCTGAAAAACATCTGGAGCTCAAAACAATTGTCAACCAACACTAAGGTTAGAATTTTCAATACAAATGTGAATACAGTTCTACTGTATGTGGCGGAGACGTGGAGAACGACGAAAGCCGTTATCCATAAGATACAAGTGTTTATTAATAGCTGTCTACGCAAGATACTTCGGATCCGATGGCCAGACACTATCAGTAATAAGTCACTGTGGGAGACAAAAAGCCAGATTCCAGCAGAGGAAGAAATCAGGAAGAAGCGATGGAAGTGGATTGGGCACACCTTGAGTAAATCAGCTAATTGTGTCATAAGACAAGCCCTCACATGGAATCCTGAAGGTCACAGGAGAGGAGGAAGACCAAAGAACACATTACGCCGAGAAGTGGAGACAGACATGAGAAGAATGAACAAAAACTGGATAGAACTAGAAAAGGAAGCCCAGGACAGAGTGGGTTGTAGAAAGCTGGTCGGCGGCCTATGCTCCATTGGGAGTAACAGGCGTAAGTAAGTGAGTAAGTAATCTGGTCGAACTCCTTTCATCTAGCATTTCATTCAGAGATTTTATGACTTTCTTAGGCCAAAACTGACCTCATGTAACATTGAGGTATTTCCTAGAGTTCTAATAAGAAGCAATGACCAGTAATTGAATAAATGGAAGAGAATCGATGTTAACTTGGTGTTTTGAAGAAGGTTAAAGGCTTGTTGTAAGACCTGAAACTCTTGAAATTAAGAGGTATTTCCTAGAGTTCTAATAAAAAGCAATGACCAGTGGAATTCAACCAGATCAGTTGTGTGATAGTAACTCAATGAAGACAATGGTGAACGATTTCTGAACTTCGTGGATTGGTTGAATTTAGACATTCACACCGTTGGGTGCTGACTGGCTCAGTGATCCAAAGGTTAAGCGTTCGCGAGTGAGATTGATAGGTCCAGAGTTTAAATCATGATTGAGGGAATGAGGACAGACATGAGAAGAATGAACAAGAACTTGATAGAACTAGAAAAGGAAGCCCAGGACAGAGTGGGCTGTAGAAAGCTGGTCGGCGGCCTACTCTCCATTGGGAGTAACAGGCGTAAGTAAAAAGTAAGTAAGTAAGTTGCCTTTTGATATAGTTTGATGATTTTCTTAATGTGTGTCCTCTCCACATCCAATATCTTTTCCTAATTTTCTCTTCATCTAGAAGCAGGTGTGTTCTCTCCCACAGTAGACTGTTGTTGATAGTATAATCATTATGAGCCATGAAGAACTTCCATAGATTATTTAATGTAATGTAATGTACAGCTTATCAACAATGAATACTGACAATTCCTTCAGCGATCGTACTCATGATCCCTCACTGACTTGGTATCTAATTGTTCTATTTTTAACTTGATGGATGGTTGGATCATGTGTTGAATTAAAAAACAACCCAGAATAAGTGATTCATTTCAGCGAGATATTCGATTTACGATTACATCTCAAAACAGTCAGTCTTAAACTGATCATGATGTGTTTAAACCAAGAAAAAAATGAAGATTTTCACAGCACGTTTTGTTCCACTCCGAAACTTGTCAGCTAGATATGCATGTACCCAAGTGTTGACATTTACACTGGAGTCTAAACCAATTTAATGGTTATCTTAGTTCAGTAGTCTAATGAATAACGCTATGATGTTTTGTGTAATAATCACGATACAAATTCAAATATATCCAATTAACTGAGTTTCTACTATAATGAAATGTCCATTCTAGATTTCAATATTGTCTACTGACCTAAATGTTATTAGGGGGATATTCATTGGGGATATGAGAATATTGACTAAATGAGTTTTTATATAAATAGAGATTGATTAAAACGCTGTTTCCAATACAAACAAAAGGAAAATAGAAATCAACAACAGACTTCTGTGGCAGAGAACAAATCAGTTTCCAACTGAAGAGGAAATTAGGAAAAGATATTGGGTGTGGATAAGACACACATTAAGGAAATCATCAAACTGCATCACAAGGCAAGTGTTAACTTGGAATCGTGAAAGGAAACGAAAAAGAGGAGGACCAAGAAATACATTGAGTTTGGAATTGGGAAGAGACATGGAAAGGATGATTATCAACTGTAAACAAGTGTAAATGATTGTTGAGTACAGAGTTGGATGGAGAGTGATAATGGGCGGCGTATGTCCCTCGACGAGACTTAAGAGATGTAGTTAAGCTACCAATAACAATAACTAGTCAGACAGACATAACACAATAGTATTGTTAATTATCCTATTGAAGATATTATATAGTGAAGCATTGTTGTATAAGTTGGATGATAACTGTTATGTTCCATATGTTTTAATACCTAGCAATATGCAATATTGATTGTCATCTAGTTTAAGGAACTTGTTCATAACCAGGAGAATGCGAGTAAGCTGATTATTTTGTTTTATGGATCATTGAGTGGTGCCTAATTTCATATTTATTCAATCTTTTCTGATCCTGTTCGAATCCCATTGATCAAGTCTCATTTCGAATTAGTTTTATCATTAAAACTATTTTCTATGTGAATCATAAATGTTTACAAATCATTAAAAGAAAAACGAAATTATAATAGTAATTTGATAGTTGAGTCCATGAGTTCGAATATGTCTGTTGTGAGGCAGTTACTCATTTAGGACAATGGTGGATGGTGGCGAAATATCGTGGATTGATTAGAGTTAGACATTAACACTATTCGATACCGACTTAGTGGTCTAGAGGTTAGGCATTAGCGCATGAATCTGACAAATCCTGGGTTGAGCCCCTTATGGTCGGGATCGTGGATGTACACTGTCGAGGAGTCACATACTAGGATGTAACGGCCGTTAAGTGCTTCTAAGTTTTCCATGGTAGTCTAGATTCAATTGACTCATGAATTCAACGATTAAATGAGTTTTTAATTTTCGTTCTGGAATAAAACAATTATCGCCCTCCATCCCCTACCTACCCCCCACCAAATATAATTTACAAAAGGAAAGCAAATAAACAAAACTTTTATTTGATCATATACCCTGAATATTTTTCTTTCATGTAACTGTAATCAAATGACAACCAAGATTGTTAGTCGGGTTTGTTTACTTGTCTTCTATTGATAAACTGATATATCTTCTTCAATTTTTTTGATTGAGATTATGAATCGATTAATTCCAAACTCCTAATGAGAATCTAGATGCACTAGATAGCCATTTTGTTGCAGTATTGGATTCCTCAACAGTTCATATCCACGATCCTGCATGTGGGATTCCAACGCAGAACCTTCAACCTCACGTGCAAATGTTTAATCTCTAGAGCAATGAGCTGGCATCCAATGGTGTACATTGATTGCTAAAGAGTCTTATACTAAAACGAAACAGGAGTCTAATGCTTTCAGATTTTAAATAATGGTCTTAAATTGATCGATTCATGATCTCAATTAAAACTCAACAATCTCCACACTATTCCCTTTTTCCAGATTACTGGTAAAACATAAACAAACATAATAAACAAATGAATGTTGTTGATAAGTGAATAAAGTATGGATATACACTAGTCACTTTCCTATTGATTGAATTAGTAACTTACAATGAAATGTTAAAAAGATACATTTGATATCTATTTAAGAATAGTCAATTGTATATTGTTAATGTAGGATTTCATATTGTGGTGTGGGTTACTGATATCCACATAAGTAGTATATGGTGATAGTCGGGCATTGAATGTATTTCAGTAGAAGATCGATAAGGAGAGAATGGGAACGGCATGTAATTGGTATGAAAATTCATGAACAATCAAATTAGAGAAGGCGGATTGATATTTACAGAAGGAACAGTTAAGATTAAGACAATTGATTGGTAGTTGGTGAAGTCACTATTCACTATATGGAATATGAAATACATTCGATTATCCCCACCAATGTTCTTGTTCACTACAATATGTCCATAGGTATCTTTTACAAATATGTTCCATAATACTATTTAGTCATAGTATGGATGCAAGTGGAAAGGTAATAAGTAAACCTAATTTATCTATCTCTACATTGTTAGTTATTATAGTAAGTACCAGAATCTGAAGGAATTGTAATTACTTAGTTACAAAGGAGAAGAGTAAAAACATACACATATGGAATATCAATCTTTGCTTAAGGAAAATCAATAATTATGATAATCAGTCATATTTATATCAGAAGAGCATGATTTTCATTAATTGGTAGTTACTTACTTACATACGTCTGTTACCCCTCGTGGAGTAGCATAGGCCGCTCATCAGCATTGTTCATCCAACTCTGTCCTGGGCAATCCTTTCCAGTTCTTTCCACTTGTTATTCATTCTTTTCATATCTGCTTCTATTTCCCGGCGTAATGTGTTCTTTGGCTTTCCTCTTTTCCGCTTACATTCCGGATTCCAAGTTAGGAATTGCCTAGTAATGCAGTTTGGTGATTTCCTCAAAGGGTGTCCTATGCACTTCCATCATCTTTTCCTAATTTCCTCTTCAGCTGGAAGCCGGTTTGTCGTCTACCATAAAACGCTGTTGCTCACAGTATCCGGCCAGTGAATGTTGAGTATTTTGCGTAAACAACTGTTTATAAATACATGTACCTTCTTGGAGATGGATGTATTAGTTCTCCACGTTTCATCTCCGTACAATAGAACTAACTGTCTTGACGTTCGTATAAATAATTTTCACTTTGAAGTTAGTTGACAGTTGTTTTGAGTTCCATATGTTCTTCAATTGTAGAAATACTGCCCTTGCAATTGATAGATAGTTAAAGTCAAATCATATTTAAATGAAATTGAGTAAGAATAGTGAATGTTTACAAGTAAGTTACCATTGGACATTTTTTAGTTGCTAAGATAACTATGACCCTCATGATGAAACGAACCTATATATTGTTATCAGAAGGGGTTTTTTGGAGATTTAGTATTTTCATAATTGAAATCATGGTTCAATTGAAGCTAGACCACCATGGAAAACCTGGAAGTACTGGACGACCGTTTCGTCCAATTGTGGGATTCCTCAGCAGTGCGCATCCACGCCTTCGCTTCGCGAGCGAGATTCGAACCCAGGACCTGCCAGTCACGCGCCAGAGCACTTAACCGATAGACCACTGATCCGGCATCCGATGGTGTTTATGTCTAACGAAACGGCCGTCCAGTGCTTCCAGGTTTTCCCTGGTGGCCTAGCTTCAATTGACTCAGGCTTTCAACTATGAATCTTTTTATGTTATTCAATACACTAGTAAGTGATTAAGTATGCAAGAAGAAATAAGAAACGATATTTATCAATAGTTGTTAAAGCTTGCATGTTTTCCCCTATTATATGTATATTTTACAATTGAATGTATTAATCTCACTTGATATTTGAGTTCATCTTACCCTGATGAAGAATAGGTAGTCATCAAGATATATGTTGATTCCCGATGGTCGACATCTTCCAGTACCTCTGTTCATCACGTAATTATAACTTATTATAAATCTATAAGATAGTTTGTTGTCACCATGATTACATGAATTAAAAGTGATACCACATTTGAGGCTTGATAATGTAGTTGATATAACGATAAAGGCCTTTGAATTGTACACAAGAAGTACTTGTAACCTGATTATGAATACTATTACAGGGTCAAATATATTCCATATAAACAGTTTTTATGTTATCACTAAGCATCGTTAAATTTAGGGTTTTAGTACCAAACAGAAGTCATTTACTGATTCAATAGGTGTGATAAAACCAAGCAGAACACCAATGTGATGTGGGCTACTTATTTAAGACATAAGTAGTATATACCATGAGTCAGGAATAAAACATGTAGCAGCAGAAGATTGAGAAGATCTAGAAGGGAAGAACAGAAACAGAAAGCAATTAGTGTGGAAATCCAGGAACAATGAAGCCTTAGACAATGAATGAACATTTTGCAAATGAAGCATCAGAGTATGGTTTTTCTATTTGTCGGTTGTCCTCATATGTATTCTCCACCACTACTTCACCTATAGTGTTCTGTTGTTTTTTGTTTAATTCGACACTCATAATAACTTTCAATTTTCATTAACTCATTCTTTATAAGTTGTGCAACTGGTTGGCAACGTCCACTTTGTGATGAATGTATCAAATATCCAGGATGTGAACATGGAACATGTAATGATGCACCATTTACATGCCGTTGTTTACCTAATTGGGGTGGATCATTTTGTGATCAAGGTTAGTTAATAAGATTCCTGTCAATAAGATTCCTTTTTGACAAAGATTTACTAAGTAATATTACAAAATTATGAGTGGAAACTTTTTAAACAATGATAACATGTCAGAAGGAGGGTTTTGTGAAGATTTTAGTAATTTTATATAGTTGGAATCATGAGTCAATTGAAGATAGACTACTTGGAGTTGTAGTGAGAAGCAGTAACCGGTACAATTCAACCAGGTCTGTTGAGAGATAGTAACTCACTGAAGACAATTGGTGAATGGTTGCCCGATTTCGTGGATTCGTTGAAGTTAGATATTCACACCATTGGATGATGGCTGGCTCAGTGGTTCAGAGGTTATGCGCTCGCGCACGAGACTGACTGGTCCTGGGTTGGAATCTCGTGAGGCGGGATCGTGGATACACAATGTTGAGGAGTCCCATAATAGGACGAAACGTCTCTCCAGTGCTTCAATGTTTCCCATGGTGGTCTAGCTTCGATTGACTCATGATTTCAATTATATAAAATGATTATATGTATAGAAACGATTCCATAATATATCAATATATTCTTAGTAATAATTCCATTTACGATTCACTTCTCAAAGAAAGCTATCACATGTCAAGTTATAATTTAATCACCATTGTTATTATTATTATTATTATTAGCTTTATTCAATATTATATTATTTGGTACAAAATCGAATTCTCAGCATAAAGTAATTCAACATGTTTACGTTTCTTATTTCTTCGTTGCTCCTGATGATAAACATTCAGTGATCGCCAGTTGGATGTCAGCAGTTCAGTCAATCGACATATGAATAATGTATATTCTTTTTGCTGCATGTTCCCAGCAAACACGACATCTCTGATTAGGCCTTTTGTAACTTTTACAGCGAAAGGTTGTACAGTTTTCAGAAACGCACCGGAATAGGTTGTGTGCTTAATAGCTATAATTATGTATTAAAACAAACAATATTAGATAACTTGTTGAAATATATAGATGACGGGAAACAGGTAGCCCAGATGTTTAAGCAGGCCGCCTTATTTGTCTGCCTTATTTGTGAGTGACCTAATATCATAGGAACAACCAGTATGAAATTATTGAGATAAATTGTTTACTAGTTGACTCCCAATAACTAGATACTCCTGTGCTCTTGAAGAAAATAATGCTTCACATGGAGTTTGAATCCTGATTTTCATAGTTAAAGGAAACTATCGACTGAACTATTCAAGTAGTAGGCAACTTGATGAGATATCAAATGAGGTCAATCTGTGAGAACTAATCAATTTTCTGTTTGGGAGTCTTTAGTGTTAACTGAATTCACGATGGCACTATTTCAAGTCAACAAAAAAAGGTTTATAGGTACATATATGATTCATTCATACTCATTATTACAACTAACATAGACGATTATTCTATTCCATTTTTTATTTCATTAGTAACTAATCAAATAAACAGATTTGGATTATTGTGGACAACATCAACCATGTTTAAATAATGGAATATGTAGAAAATTGAATTATTCATATTCAAAACCATTCAATTGTAGTTGTACACGTGATTTTACCGGGGAATATTGTGAAATAAGTAAGATTATCATGTATAATTCTTTTGGTTAAATTATTCATTGTTAATTGATTTCGAAATTTGTCACTTACTTACTTACTCACACTGTTACCCCTCGTTGAGGAGTATAAGCCGTCCACGAACATTCTCCATCTTACTCCGTCCTTAACAAGGCTTAATACTTGTTTACAATGGATATTCATCCATTTCATGTCTCTTTCCGACAGACAGTTGTGTTGAGTTCCATATGCTCTTCAGTTGTAAAAATGCTGCCCTTACCTTACCAATCCTTACCTTCACGTTTGCATTGGGTCCTCTTTGCTCATTGATGATGTTGACCAGGTACGTGAAAGTTTCTACCTCGTCCAGAGTTTCTCCATCAGATGTGACTGATTTGGTTGATATTCTCTGTGTTTGGGTTGAGGATCTTGTTTTTTCCCTTGTGAGTGGTGGGGCCCACTGATGCAGAGGCTGCTGCTACACTTTTTGTCTTGATCTGCACTTGTTGATGTGTATGGTATAGAAAGGCTAGATAATATGTGAAGTCCAAATCGTTTTGTTGCATCCCAGCTGTCTAAATTTGTTAGTATAACTTCATCTTCTAATTAAGGAGTTTATATACTTACCTTCGAGTTATTAACTTTCTCTCAAGGCAAGCTGGCTGCTCAAGATGAAGTTGAATTTAAGTAGTAAAGTTATAACGTTGAGCTAACTACTTAGAACTGAACAATTTAACAAAAGAGCTATTATCCTCAATAGTAACAAGGAACAATCAGTGTATTCATATAGCTCTTTTGAGAACTTGATGTTGGAGTCTATAAGATTCTGATTTCTGGTTTTCTTGAAGTTCATTAATTATTTGTGATTGTATTTAAATTTATGTTGGCACTACAAACAACTACCATAAATCGGACATTCAATGTATAGCCTGAATGATCCGAGTTTGAAACTCACAAGGTCCATCTGTTCAACTATGGTTGTAGATTACGCCCAGTCTAATGATATCAATATAATGATCCCATATCGCCATTATTATGATTCGATCAAAGACTTTATTAACATTACACAGTTGACAATATCAAATAAGGAAAAATTTATCCTAAGATCTTCATGATGTATCAAGTTTGTATAATAAATCAACACAAGCACTGAACTAGAAAGGATAAGATGGATTCTTAGACAAATGATTGTCTTTTGTTTTAACATATACAAATAAGATGAGTAGTGAATCGCAAAATCTTCATTTGAAATTTCATAGATCATCTGGAAAAACTCATATCAACCATCAAATTCATGTACACACACTGCTAAGGAGTTGTGAATATATTGAATGCCTATTGGGCTTCATTTATTATTTTTTTAATGTCAGATTATAGATAGTTCTCTTCAAACTAGGGAGAATCGCTACATGACTTAAATGACCTGAAAGCAAAATAATCTGTCAAATGTCATTTACCCACTTTTGAGTAGTTAAAGTGGTGATTATAAAAAAGTGCGTTGATTTGGGGAATAAGTCAGAGATCGTTGAAATTGCACTTAGTTAAAAGCAATTGATATATACTCTATAGTCTTTCAGTATCGCATTTTATAGGTTAAAAGAATTGTTTAAGTAAACACTGAACGATTTAGGTGGATAACTGCAAGTGGTTTTTCTTTACGAACTTAAGCACATCCATGGTAAGCAGAGATGGCCAGTTGCAGACCTAACAAATCGATGGGAAGATTCAAACAAACAATACTGAATGAATTTAAGCACATCCGATTATATATATAGATGGTGGGAAAAAACTCCATTGATAGACTTCATTACTGTATTAATAATCCGTTTTCTACGAAAAGTATTCAAGTTGTCATCATCTCTGACGTAGCTAACCTACTAAACAAAGAAAATCAACTGAAAACTGTATCATCCTTTAAGTTAACGAAAATATTAATTTTTCCTGGTTAGCGTTCTTTTTAGTGAGTTTGTTTTCTAGGGAATGAGGTCGTTAACACCATTTCCATTTCTCCTCCTTTATCCGGTCATAGAACCGGAAGTAGCCCCCAGAGGGGATACAGGCGGATTCTAACGAAAATATTAACAAATTATTTTTTTTCCGATAATGAATGTAGAATTGGTACCATGTACAATTGATCCATGTAAACGTGGTCGTTGTATATCAACAGATAACATCACTTATGAATGTGAATGTCAACCAGGATGGCGTGGTGATCATTGTGAAGAGAGTAAGTTCAGTGGTTAAAAGTTATTTGATTTAATACTTTAGATGTTGACACTTAGAGTGAAGAATATAGGGTTCAGGTACCGAAGTGGACACCAACTCTGGGATATATAAAGTACATCTAGCTGACGAGTTGTAAATAAGACAACATGTACGTCATGGATTCCATTGTTAGCCACATACTGTCTATTCTGCATCAAATTGTCTGACATGTCTTAAACAATATGTTTCAGTAAACTTAATTGACCTGTATGATAACTTAAATGCTTGTTATCTAGTTATCCGGTCAGGTTCAATCAAAACTTCATACACCACCTAATAGTTGAAACAACCGGCAATGAGAAAGTGAGAAAATTACGAATACTTAGGAAGCTACTATAATCTCCACACAAAACCCCTCCTGTTAAATAGATGAGATTGAATGATACAAGTTGAATAGTATGAATGTATCATCTAAAGTTGTTAATATCTTTTACTGATCAGGTGGGTTTTCTTTTTTGAAGTGGATTTGACTAAAGTTATTCATAACAATTAATTGTTCCTCTCCAATTATTTAACAACGAGCAGTTACTTACTTACTTACATACTTACGCCTGTTACTCCCAATGAAGCATACGCCTCCGACCAGCATACTCCAACCCACTCTGTCTCCACCCTTCCTCTCTAGTTCTATCAAGTTTTTGTTCATTCTTCTCATGACTGTCTCTATTTCTCGACGTAATGTGTTCTTTGGTCTTTTTCTTCTCCTTTGACCTTCAGGATTCCATGTGAGGGCTTGTCTTGTAACGCAGTTGGGTGATTTCCTCAAGGTGTGCCCAATCCACTTCCATCGCTTCTTTCTGATTTCCTCCTCCACTGGAATCTGGTTTGTTGTTTCCCACAGTAACTTGTTGCTGATAGTGTCTGGCCAACGGATCCGAATACAACTGTTAATAAACACCCGTGTCTTCGGGATGATGGATTTCGTGGTTCTCCACCTCTCCGCCCCATACAGTATAACTGTCTTGACATTTGTATTGAAAATTCTGATCTTGGTGTCCGTTGACAATTGTTTTGAGTTCCAGATGTTCTTCAGTTGTAATGGTTTGAATGGTTTGAATAATTTTTTCTGGTTAGCGTTTTTTTGACGAGTTGGTTTTCTACGAGATGGGGTCGCTAACCCTATGTCCAACCCTCCTCCTTTACCTGGGCTTGGGACCGGCAGTAGCCCCCGGAGGAGCTACGGGTGGAATTAACAATAAACAGTTACATAATGATATTCATTCACTTTCTTTATAAATTGCATGACTCAATTCAATCTTTTATTGATATTTCATTTGTTTATTACATAATTATTTACACTAAGGATTGTTTTGTTTTTCTTTTTCTTCTTCTAAATAATTGAGATATTGATGATTGTATGGACAAATGTAAAAATGGAGGAACATGTCACGTAAGAAGCTTATTTTATTTACATAATAATAATAAATGTAAATGTGACATTAGACATTAACACCGTTGCATGCCGGCCGGCTCAGTGGTCTATCGGCTAAGTGCTCTGGCGCGCGACTGGTAGGTCGTGGGTTGGAGTCTCGCGAGTGCGGGATCGTGGATGCGCACTGCTGAGGATTCCCACAATAGGACGAAACGGCCGTCCAGTGCTCCCAGGTTGCCCATAGTGGTCTAGCTTCAATTCACTCATGGTTTCAACTATGAAAATACTGAAATCTCCACAAAACCCCTACTGATCAATAATAAATGTAATAATAATAGTGGTAATGGTAGTAATGGTATTATTACCAATAATACCATTGCCATTACTAGCTACTTCGGAGGCTACTGCCGGTCCCAAGCCCAGATAAAGGACTCCATCCCGTAGAAAACCAACTCGTTAAACAAAACGATAACCAGTAGTAGTGTGAGTAGTAGTAGTCATAGTAATGGTAGTAGTAGTATTGGTATTAGTATTAGTAGTAGTGTAGCGAACGAGAACACAAGTGGAGACAATCAAATGTATTTCAACACCAAATTACAGAACATCTTTGTAAAATCTTATAACCATACAGTAAACACTTCATTTGCAAAATATCAGTCAATCGTTTCAGACTTCATTACTCTTTTGTTTCCATACCAATAATTATTTTCTCTCGTTCTCTTATACGTTATACCTCCAGGCACTTCACTATCTATTACTGATACATACCACTTATATATGTCGATATCAATAGCACACACCACAGTAGTAGTGGTCGTATTGGTAGTAGTGGTAGTGTGGTGTGAGTTACTTATATCCACACAAGTAGTATTTAATGATGGTCGTGCATAGAATGTAATTCAGTAGAAGATCGATAAGGACAGAACGGAAACGGGACGCAATTGGTATGAAAATGTATGAACACATGGACAAATATTTGCTGAAGGGATGGTCAAGTTTGAGACAATTGACTTATGGTTTGCGAATTAACTGTTTACTGTATGGTTGTCAGATTTTAGTGAGAGATTCTATACTGTTGGGTTACCACTTATCTTCTTGTTTACTACAGTAGTACTACTACTGCTACGACTACTACTAGTAGTTAGTTAGTTAGTCATAATCAATATTTTTGACAATGTTGATGCATTGAAAATTAACTTCTGTTGAGATCTCAGTAACAAACTATGACTTGATGAACCACATAAACGATCTCAAAAAATTGGTATTTTTTGGGCATTTTTCTGTTGGGGATTCCTACAACAGGACGAAACGGCCGTCAATTGCTTCCAGGCTTTCCCTGGTGGTCTAGCTTCGATTGATTAACGCTTTCAACTATGATTATTTTGTTTGTTAATATTGAGACTCTTTGGATGGGAATTGAACGTTTTCTACATTTCCATGTTCATTATATTTTGAACGATTTGTAGCAGTAGAATACAGATGTTCCACCTATTCATTCTAGTTTGAGACTCAGCAGTCTGATTAACCTGTATTTCAATGTGCATTAATATTTAAGTTAAGAATAGAACTCAATTTTTATAGCTTCAAACGTTAGTTGAGCTTCTTTCCCTTCACAGATATGTAGGTACAAAATTCGATCCCAGGCGAGATTGTGAGTGAACACTTCTGTGAAGTTTTATATAGTTAAGATCATGAGTCAATTGAAGCTAGACCACTGTGGAAAACCTGGGAGCACTGGACGGCCGTTTCGTCCTATTGTGGGACTCTTCAGCAGTGTTTATGCACGATCCCGTCTCGCGAGATTCCAACCCATATACTCACTCGTGACTGGCTCCATGAGGTAATTCCTTGAATTCTAGTGAGAAGTTGTGGCCAGTGGAGCTAATCTATGTCAGATACAGACAGCTATCTGTCAATTAATGAAAAGCGACAGATACAAGCAACCGCCATTGCAGTCAGTCCCAGTAACCGCAGTCAGCGATCTATGGTCGGTAGATGTGATGGGACCATTTCCACAGACGGATAGCGGCAACCGATACTTACTAGTAATTACGGAACATGCTACACGATGGGTCGACGCTGTACCGATTGCCGACCAGCGGGCGAAAACAGTGACCGAAGTAATAATCCGGCAAATTGCAGAGGGTCACGGAGTACCGAAGATGATACTAACCGACAAGGGTCCCTGTTTTGAAAGTGACGAGTTTAAGGCCCGTTCAAAGCAGTTCGGCATCAAGAGGATACGAACTACACCGTATCACCCTCAGACGAATGAGCTTACGGAAAGAAACAACCGGACATTAAAGGAATGGTTAGCATCTAAAGGAGGGAATTGGGAGAAAGAGTTACCACTAATTTTGCTGGCGCATCGTGCCTCTATCCAAGGAACAACCAAGAAATCACCTTTCCTACTTATGTATGGTAGACAGCCACGACTTCCGATGCATAATAAGACGTGGCCACAGCAGCAGAAGTGGACAGCAACAAGATTAAGGAAAGAGAGGACGGAGGCAATAAATAACGTGAAAAAGAAACAAATATCAGACATTAAGAAGGCGGAACAGCAGAGAAAAGCGTGGAAGCCTTTTAGAGTGGGGGACCTGGTAAAGTGTAGAGAACGGAGAGATAACACTGAAGGGGGACCAGGGTCAGGAAAGCTAATCCCAAAATGGGAGGGACCGTACATTATCACGGAGAGACGCGGCCCGGTTTACACGATCCGGAGAGAAGACAAGCAGAAACGTGTAAATGCCAGTCAACTACAGAGATGGTTTCAAGAACACCATGAGCCCGAGTCACGAACAGCACCAAAGGAGACAATGGTACGGCGATCAGAAAGATTGCGAGAACAGCTTATTAAAAGGGGGGACGAGTGTGGTGTGAGCTACTTATATCGATATAAGTAGTATATATGGTGAGTAAGGAATACAATATCTGACAGCAGAATATCGAGAAGATCAAAAAGAGAAGATCAGAAATAAAAAGCAATTTGTGTGGAAATCCAGGAACAATGAAGCCTGAGACAATTGAAGAACATTTTGCAAATAGTGTATCATAGCATGGTTTTTATGTTTTACCAATTGACGTTGTAATTCGTGCTAAATATTTAGTTGGTCGTCTTCACCTGTGTTCTCATTCACTACACTAGGACAATACATCTATCCAACGATCTCTGATTCACATGGTACCTCAAATGAAACAGTCTTTCATGAATACTACCCAGAAATATTCAATGTGGTTATTTTTTATTAATTTCTTCCTCTAATAATTATAAGTAAAATAATTTCATCTTGATGTAGGTTTGTTCTCTGAGATGGATGGTTTGGTCATAGAGCTTTCGTCGTCCTTCTGAACGACATCATCAGCACAAACTTCGAGTAGATGTGAAGTGTTTGAATTTCTCCACAAGTCATTCATAGCTTGTCCTGTGCATATCGATGTTGATTAGTTCTTATTGACTTTGAATCTGTCATTGTTTATTTCTTTGTTTTGGTTGCATCACCTATTGGTTTGATTTTTGTTCCTATTTTTATGCATAATTTTCTTCACTTCCCTTCTACCCAAAGTTTTGATGATGATGATGATGAGGAGGAGGAGGAGGAGGGGGAGGGGGAGGAAGAGGAGGTTGTACCGTTACCACCGATGTCTATGATTTTAGGCACTGATCAATTGGATAATTATTGGCATAGAGTTGTACTTGGTATAATTGAAATTCAAGTTGATACAGTAGTTGTAAATGAAAATGATTTTGGTAAGTGTAAATGTTATGTCTCGAACCTTGATTCTCAATATGCCGCGAACTACTTGACTACTTGAACGATAGAAGCCGCAAACGTCGCAAAAGAGAGAAGACAAAGACTGGTAAGCAGGAAGTTTATTGCCCCAAACAGTGTCAAAATATAGCCCAGAAATCTCGTGTATTTATAGTTATTGGCTGAAAGTAAATTATCATTTAGGTCAACCAATAAGCACATAGGTATCAAACTAATCCATCCAATGGAGAAGCTCCACGTTGGCATTTCTAGAACATTCCCCTAGCCCTAATTGGATGGAATGTCTGCGGCTCTTCCTGGGCTTCCTAGAGCCTCCTCGACTTCACCTGTGGACCATCCTCACACCTCCCCCCATAAAAGTCTGTTGTATAAGTTCTTTTTCTCGGATCCACCTGGAATTGAGTTACCGCGATTCTCTTGCGACTCATTACTCTCGAAGGTTGTGTCGCCTTGCTCTTGCGTCTTTTGTCTTTTCTATCTACGCGCGCCTGATTGCTTCTTGGAGACGAATCCATGAGCAAATGAAATGGGAGCCGGATTTGTGGCATCCATGTTCTGCCATCCCTTCGACTTTGATTGATGTGTCTTATACAAGTACCGACATTTCTTCGGATTAAATACAATAAACTTCCAATTTGACGTTCTATAATACCTGGTTCCCACCTTTTTCCACCTTGATACGATTTAACGAGTACCCTTTCACCCACCTTGAAGCTATGAGTGACCATATGGTTTCCATTCGTGGGTTTTCTTGTCTTTCTAGGTGGCAACATACTGCTAAAGATTGTTCGAATTTTCCTTCCGAACATACACTCGGCTGGTGACTTACCTTCGGGTACTGCCGGATTGGGGGTAACTCTGTAAGACAAAAGGAACTTGCTGATTACTTGTTCTGGGATGGCCTCTCCTCCCCCTTTAACCAGAGCTCGTTTTATAGTATCCACGAATCTTTCTGCTTGGCCATTCGACTGAGGATGGTACGGGGGAGACTGTAGATGTGATATGCCATTTTCAGTGCAAAACCGTTTAAAGACAGATGACATGAACTGGATGCCGTTGTCAGTCATTAAGATTTCAGGAACCCCAAAACAAGCGAACAAACCAGTCAATTTTCTTATTGTACTCTCTGACGTCATTTTCGGCATGTCGTATACTTCTGGCCATTTCGTGAAGGCGTCGACAACGACCAAGTAATTTCTGCCTTGTATTGGGCCGGCAAAATCAGCGTGTATTCTTTGCCAGGGACCGTCTGGTTTTGGCCATGGTTGCGGTTCAGCTTTATTTTGGTTCTTTGCGGCCTCTAAACAGGACGAACAACTGCGACATTTTTGCTCTATATCATGGTCCATTGATGGCCAGTATACGTAGCTTCGAGCTAACGACTTCATTTTACTTATCCCCGGGTGTCAGTTGTGGAACTGCTTAAGGACTTGGTTTCGAAGATTTCTGGGGATAACGATACGGTAGCCAAACATGATGCAGGAATCTGCAATTGTCAATGAGTCCCGTCGACGGAAAAATTGCAAGAGTTCTCCATTTAGTCTCGACGAAGGCCACTTGTTGAGTATGCAGCGGCGAACAAACTTCAACACGTTATCTTTCTCACTAGCTCCTTTAATAGCTGCGAATGTGACTGGAAGTCCGGAAACTGCGTCTGTTAATACTGTGTGAACCTCAGCCTCAACATCTACGGCAGCCACGAGCACCTCCTCTTCTTGTTTTGTACGGGAACTAATTAGTCTTGAAAGGGCATCTGCCTGTCCAAAATACGTTGTTGGTTGGTACTTTATCTTGAAATCATAGCCCAGTAGTGTCGTTGCCCATCTCTGTAGACGGTTTGCTGTATATACAGGTATACATTTTTTCGATCCAAAAATTGTCAGCAGCGGTTTATGGTCTGTTAGTAGGGTAAATTTTCTGCCAAATAGCATCTTGTGGAATTTCTTTACTGCGAATATAATAGAGAGGGCCTCTTTTTCTATCTGACTATAGTTTCTTTCTGTCATAGTCAGCGACCGTGCAGCGTGGGCGATTGTCTTCTCAGACCCGTCTGGGTAGGTATGTGCGATCACTGCGCTGATTCCGTAGTTGGACGCATCTGCTGCGACTATAATGGGAAGATCTGGATCATAGTGTGTGAGTAGAAGGTTTGATGACAGGAGCTGTTTTAGTCTTACGAAAGCTTCTTGACACTCAGATGACCAGAACCATTTGGTATCTTTTTTCAGCAACCCATTAAGAGGAGCACGATGCAGTTCTGGAAGAAAAACTCCATAATGACTAACCATTCCCAAGAAAGAAGGTAAAGTTGACACATCAGTTGGTGGAGGCATGGACTTGATAGCCTCGACGTTTTCAGGATCAGGTTTTCTTCCGCTTTTATCAATTATGAATCCCAAATAGTGGACTTGTTCCATGTAGAAATCACATTTTTCAGCACGTAATGTGAACCCAAAATCTGCTATGCGTCTGAGAACCATATCTACCTTCTTCTCCAGGTCAGCATAGTCTGTACCCATGATTAGTATGTCGTCAAGATAGGCCGCAGTACCAGGAATATCTTGTAGCATAGTATCCATAACTTGTTGAAAGATTGAAGGGGCAGTCTTTACTCCAAACGGAAGTCTATTATATCGAAACAACCCTTTATGAGAGTTTATTGTCAAGTAATGTTTGCATTCTTCCGCTACTGGAATCTGTAAATATGCTTCTGATAGGTCTAGGTTTGCAAAATACTTACCCCCGTTAAGTTTCGCAAATAAGTCTTCTGGTAATGGTAAGGGGTACTGATGAGCTTTAAGTGCGTCATTTAATCCAGTGAAGTAGTCTGCACATAATCGAATACTTCCATTAGGCTTTTTAACAATTACTATTGGGGCTGCCCAATCAGAAAAGTTCACTGGTTCTATAATTCCACTTTTTTGCAGTCGTTCTAATTCTTGTTCAACAATCGGTAGCGCTGCGTAGGGTACAGGTCTTTTGGGTCGAAAAACGGGAGTAGCACCAGGTTTGAGGATTAACAATGCTTTGGCCTTCGTACATTCTCCCAATTCTTCTTTAAAAACGTTGTACTGTCTTTGTAGCACGGTACATTTCTTGTTACACCTTGAGGGGTTGTCAGTAGTCACTCGTCTGCAGATGCTATTAATAGAATGATCTGCTAGCTTAAGTGTTTCTATTAGATCTAGTCCCAATAAGTCTAGTCCTGAGTTCTTCGTAATGTAAATGGTTGCATTTGTCGTAACCGCACCTTTAGACACAATGCAAGGTACTTCTCCTACAATGTTTAACTTACCGCCAGATGCACTGTGCGCTAGTTGTGTTGTTCGATGCACTGTTGGTCGCCCAATCTTCCTCCAAGTTTCTGGGCTTATTAAAGTAATATCAGAAGCTGTATCAAGCTGAAGTCGAGTACGGCGTTTATTAACATTCAAGGTTACATACTTTCTTCGATCATGTTCTGTTCTGGTACGTGCTACCATTATTCTATTGGGTGATGAACAATTTTTACGTCTTCGGAAATGAACACTTGATGATCGACGGTGCATCTTCTTTTTACAACAAGTTTCTTTATGTCCTTTGAGCTGACGTCTAGTGCACCGGTAGTTTTTGTACGGGCAGAACCTTTTCTAATGCAGCTCTCCGCAAAACCAACATGCGGATGGAGGCTTCTTAATGGTTGTGTTCTGCTTTTCCTTCCCACTTACTGCCTGTACATAAGGTAGTCGACCATTATTTTCTACCATTGAAGTGTCATGCTTCAAGTTCACCAGATGCTGACATTCAGTAGTCACCTCTTGAAGGGTGATATTTGGACACTGTTCAATTTTGCTTAGAATTCTGGTTCTAATGTCGGCGTCTTCTGAAGATTGTAAGCTGCATACGAAAACAAGACATTTGAATTGGTCTTCTGTCATTGCTGATAGTTTAAAGCGCTCACATTAGCGATTTATTATGCTAGCATGTTGCACCCAGTCATTATTGCCGGCTTTTACTATTTTCAAGCACTGATAGCGAATATTGAACAGGGAAGACTGTTCACCAAAAATTTGCGACAAAATTTTAATTGTTTCTTCGAATGAGATGTCTCTTGGGTTCTTGGGCAGAATGTAATTAGTATATCGTTCATGTTCAATGGTACCCAGCTTTCGTAGTAGCACCCTGACCTTGGCGGCATCATCAAAAGTTTCTAGGTCGACATTAAATACATCTTCATATTTCTTGTACCAAGATTCGAATGTTACACCAGCAACACCATCAAAATGAAATTCGTGAATGGAATCAATGATACAATCAGCATGCGATTTGGCAGAAACATCTGTAAGTCCATTCTTATTGAGGTTCATCTGCTGGGTTAGTTTTTCGAGTATGCGCATCTGGAATTGTTCAAGCCGTTTTTCATGGCGCTCTAGAAAAGCTTCAAATTGGTCAAAGGTAATAGACATCTTGATAAATTAACCCATCGCCAGTTGTAATGTCTCGTACCTTGATTCTCAATATGCCGCGAACTACTTGACTACTTGAACGATAGAACCCGCAAACGTCGCAAAAGAGAGAAGACAAAGACTGGTAAGCAGGAAGTTTATTGCCCCAAACAGTGTCAAAATATAGCCCAGAAATCTCGTGTATTTATAGTTATTGGCTGAAAGTAAATTATCATTTAGGTCAACCAATAAGCACATAGGTATCAAACTAATCCATCCAATGGAGAAGCTCCACGTTGGCATTTCTAGAACATTCCCCTAGCCCTTATTGGATGGAATGTCTGCGGCTCTTCCTGGGCTTCCTAGAGCCTCCTCGACTTCAGCTGTGGTCCATCCTCACAGCAAATATTTGTAAACAAAAAAGAAACACTGACTATTTTAAGATATTCATTTTTTAAATATTTCAATTCCTTTGCTCTGCATGTTTGTGATGCATATCAGTTGCCTGTTTACTTATTATTGCGATTGTTTGCTATGTACTCTATTATGACTAT